GTGATCTCTGAGCTGGGTTATTGTTTCATTACCCAACTAGATAACATCATCAGTGGTAGAGGAAGGAGTTGGGAGGAGGAGGGGGGAGAATGACTATGGGGTCCTTGGTGGTCTCTGAACTGGGTTGTTTTCTTGCAGACGTTTCATTAGCAGACTAGGTAATATCATCAGTGCTACGGTAGAAGGGGATGGGGTGCGCAAGGAGGAGGACTGTCAGGTCCATAGTGCTCTCTGAGCTTGGTGGTTTTCATGCAGACGTTTCATTACCCATCTAGGTAACATCATCAGTGCTCGGAGGGAGTGGGTTTTGCTACCTGTTTATATACAAAGCAGTAAACTCTACCTAATCAAGAAACTAACAACACAAACAGCCCAATCAAGAGACCACAGCCAAGAAAACAACGCTCCCACCAACACTCTCCCTTTCTAGCCTTGATGATTTTCCTTAGTTGGATAAGCAAGAAAACAACCCAGCTCAGAGAGCACCAAAGACCCTTCTGAGCATGTACAGAGTAAATAGGAAGCAAGCAGAGGAAGGCGGCTTCAGGATGGACCCATCCATTGCTGCTACTCTGCCCACCTGGCTGAAGAGAAGGAAGCCACTCACCATCATGGTCAATGGTGGTCACCCTGTGGCTATAGGGCACAAATGGGGCAAAATTCACTGAACCAATGTCTCACTTAGCAACATAAATTTTGGGCTCAATTGTCGTAAGTTGAGGATCACTGGTATTTTATTGTGTTTAGTAATCTAGGTGAGATGTTCATCTATCATTGCTAGTCCATATGATATGCCATGAGCTGAACAATTTCCCTCCAGCTATGAACGAGTGGGTGCCCATCGCTAAAGAGTACGACCCACTGAAAGCCGGAAGCATCGATGGCACCGACGAAGAGCCTCACGACCGGGCGGTCTGGAGAGCCATGTCGTCCCGCTACGTCCCCAACAAAGATGTTTCCGGAGACCCCCACCTAACCCTCTTCGTTGCCCGGCTCAACCTACAAACCACGGAAGAGAAGTTAAGAGAGGTCTTCTCCCGGTACGGAGAGATTCGTAAAATCCGTCTGGTTCGGGACCTGGTTTCTGGTTTTTCCAAAGGCTACGCTTTCATTGAGTATAAAGAGGAACGGGCGCTCCTGAAAGCCCACCGCGATGCCAACAAGCTGATCATTGACCAGCGGGAAATCTTTGTCGACTTTGAGCTGGAAAGGAGTCTCAAAGGTTGGATCCCTCGCCGGCTGGGAGGCGGGTTTGGCGGCAAAAAGGAGTCGGGTCAGCTGCGGTTCGGAGGCCGAGACAGACCCTTCAGGAAGCCCATCAACTTGCCTGCCATGAAAAATGATTTTTATAGTAGTGAAGGATCTGCGGGAAAGAGAGAGCGGCCTTGGTCCCGGGGAGGGCCGAGGGACTGGAAGACTGGAGAACGAGATTACGAAAGGAGCCGAGAGTCCCGGCGAGCTGAACGGGAAAGATCGTGGGGATACGGCAAGAGCGAAAGAGACCTGGAACATCGAGGGAGGGAAGACCGAGGCAGAGCCCCAGAGGGGAGGGAGCGAGAGAGGAAAGACCGGAATCGCGAGGCCAAGGAGAGCAAGGGGTGAAGGCTGCCACTGATGGGACCATTTCCTTCAAAGGCTGCTCGATTGAAGGAGATCCTCAGAAGTGTAGATCTGACTTCCGAGACAAGCCGGATGGCTGTCTGGATCAGCACAGACATTGTGGGTGGGAGCAGCATCTTCCCAGCTGGAGAAGAGTGAAAATTGTACCAAGGGTTCCCATCCCTTGACAGTTGTGTCCATGTCTTATTCCAGGATCTGCTGGACGATGGATCCCAAATTCCCAACAATGACATTATCTCCTGATATATTTGAAGTGCCAAAAAGGAGAGAGCTGGTTTAGGACTCCCACCCCCGTTCCACACCCTTTAATTCTTGAAAAGATCTGGGTTAATGTAAGGCCTTAATTCCGCCAGTAGACACCTCCGTCAAGGCAGAAGGGTAGCTATCACCCTAAAAAATGAGGTAGGGTTGAATTGTATATATGGAATTTGAGGGACTTCAACCAAACGCTGTTTACGAGTCAGTGAAATCACCCGGAGGCCTCTTGTTAATTCAGAAATAGTTTATTTAGCATATTAAAAAGAGTTCTACAGTTCGATATTGTTCTCTCTACTAGTCCCAGCCAATCCTTGTTTATTGCCTTTAACTATCTAACACCCTGAATCTTGAATAAAAATTAAGAATCTCTTTGCATATCCTGTGGTGGTATGATTGCTCTTACTCTAGACTTGGTCATTTGAAGACTTGTGGTCTTCAACTCCCATAATTCCTGGCTGGGGAATTCTGGGAGTTGAAGTCCACAGATCTTAAAAGTTACCAAAGTTGGACATCCCTTCCCAGGCAATTGTGTTAAGAGAATACAGAGGGTAGGGATAATCAGTAAAGGGTTAACTTGTGTGCAGAGCATCTCAAATTCAAAAGGGGCTGTTTGGATCTGATTAGAACTGTCCTGAGCATTTCCTGCTGGCTGGGGAATTCTGGAAGCTGAAATCCACACCTTTTAAAGTTGCCAAGTCTGAAAAAACACCACTTTTTTTTCCCTCTGAGGTTTGGGGAACAAACCCCCTTTCGTTATTTCCTATTGCTCCTCAATGTTCATATTTCTAATTACAGCGCTGAGCGATCGTCCACCATGCACCAAATTCAGGCCGATTAAACATTTTCAAGGCAGCTTTGATCTCATCCAGAGAGAGAAGGGACATCTGTTCAGAAGCGGCCGGTGGGTCTGTTTCCAGAACTGTCAAAACTGAAGTTGGCGTGTTGAATTGAAGCAATTGCCTTCACACAGAAAGGGGGGGGGGAAGCATTTGTTGCTACAAGGTTGGCGACAATCATAACTAAAAAAAAAAAAAAGGATTAGCATAGATTTCAGCCGTTTGGTTGCCGTCACCGTGTCAAGAGAATTCAAAGCAAAACACGAGGCATCGTTTCCCTGGACATCACGTTGGAGGCACTATAAATAAGCCACTCAAAATATATCTCCTCCCGAATCTGTGTTTAAAAAGTCGCCTCTCTCCAGAACTTTTTGCCTTGGATACAGTTCCAGAAGACTTCTGCAAAAGGAGAGGAAAAAAAAACTGCTGGAGCTGTGAAGCAGAAAGTTTAGCAGGAGGAAGCAGAGAGGAAGAGCGGAACAAAATAATAATTTTTTTTAAAAAAAATCCCTTTGAATAAGGTGCGCCTGGAACAATGGTCGTCGGTCCTTAAGCAGTGCATTTGTTCAGGAATGGACCAGATCCCTTTTATTTCCTTTTTTTGGGAGAGAGGGATAGACAAAAGGAAGCATTGGTGATGTGATGTTCACTCACAAGTCAGCAGAAGTCAAAACGATGGCCGATTTGCGGTGCCGGGCTGGCAGGATCACCGCAATTTGCTTCCCAAATCCAGACTGGGATTCTGTTGCTTGCAGGAAGAACCTGGCGCACAGATTCTGATTTAATGCACCTTTCCCTCACCCTGTGCTGACAACAGCGCAAGAACTGGAAGTCGGATGGGTGGATGGGCGCCATTTGCCACACGAGGGCTTCTGTGTTTCTGCGTTTGGCGCATCGGTGCAAATGAACGTTCTGGGTTCGGGTCACAGGTGCTGCAGAGCTTCTAAACCTTGTTCGGTGTAGACGTCGTCTTTGTTCCGGTCCGCCCACTCGCCGAAAGAGCCGTGGAAGGAGGTGTTTCTCTGGGTGGCTTGCAGGCGTCTCTTGTCGCGGGAGAAGAAGCTAAATCTGGCCCAAAACAAGAAAAAAATGTGGGTTAAAAACTGGAGATATCCTGGGACGGTTTATGAGGTGGTGGGGTTACAGCAAGCTCTTTAACCTGACTTTATTTTAACGGGGTGGATGGGGAGGCTACAGACCTGGTAGAAAACTCTTGAACAGGTGGGCCTTGCATTGCAACCGTTCATTTAGTGACTGGCAGCATGGCAACCTTAAGATGGGTGGACTTCAACTCCCAGAATTCCCTAGCTGGTATGGCAACCTTAAGATGGGTGGGCTTCAACTCCCAGACCTGACTAGGGAATTCTGGAGTTGAAGTCCAGACATCTTAAGAATGCTTTCCTAAAACGGGGGAATTCTGGGAGCTAAATTCCACCCATCTTAAAATCCTACAAATGTCTGGTTGAGAAAAACTGGACGAGAGAGAAGAAAGCATAGACTAATGTTTATTCTCTTAAATGTCCTAATAAATGGAAGTTTTTCTCCAGACGATAGAGAGACAGAGAAAGTGAGTTCTGTTTTTCCAATGTTATTATCGAAATGGCATTACCCTACAATTAATGACAACGTGGTCTAAAACCCTTAAAAATCCTCCCAACGCAGCCAAAGCTTTGACTTGACTGCTGCTTGCTTAATGGTGCTGCTTGGAAGGATGATACCATCCCAACTCATCAGATGAAAGCCGAGGCCGACGCTGTTGTTTAGTACCGCACAAGGCATCCTGCCTGCTGCTAATTCAGGCACGCGATTAAAACTAAGAGCCACAGTCTGTAAGTAGGCGGGATTGAAAAGCGGCATTAATCCACAGGAAGAATTAATATGCTGGTATATTAGAAGAGCTGGTCTAAACGAGGAACACATGGAAGGGCTCCCAGTCATTGGCCGAATATCCCGTGAGGTCACAGAAGGTTTAAAGGCGTTTTAAAAATTGAGGAAGGTTTAAAGAAACATTCAAACTGCTGAGAAAAAAAACACCCCTTTTCATTGACAAGCAGAATCAGATAATATCAACAGGGCTGGAAAAGCCGACCCAGAATAGTCCTCGAATTACGAATTGGGACCAGAGAATTCATCCCTAACCGATGCGGTCACTAAGAAAGGTGACCTGCCCCCAATTTTATGAGCTTTTGGCGTTGGTTGTTAATCAAGTCAGACGATCACGGTTTGTGACCTTCCTTGCCGGCTTCGCCATGGATTTTGCTTGCGGGAAGCTGGGAAGGTCACAAATGACAAAGCACGTGATCCCTGGGACGGTCGTAAATACGTGCCAGTTGCAATCACATGACTGCAGGGAGGCTGCGTTGGTCCTAAGTGTGAGGATCAGTTGTAAATCAACTTTTTTCCAGCACCGCTGTATCTGAACGGTCACTAATGGTCGTAAGGCCAGTAGAAGGTAGCCTGAAGGGCCAGGGCAATTTATGGAGAGCCAAGGGGACAGAAGGACGGGTCAAAAACTCGCATTTTATTGTCCCAAGCTCATAAGTTGTTGCAATCGAGACAAAAGTGCAATTGAAAACATTGCAGCAGGGGCCACGTCGTTCTCCCCCCCCCCCCGTTTTTCTTGTTTGGGGGTCAGAGGTTTACGATCCCACAATCAGCCAATGGTAGTTAGAGGGAGGGGGGGTTGAGCCAGCAGCAGGTCATGCAAAAAAAAAAAAAAAAAGAGAGGCCATACGAACTCCATCGAATGCGGGAAAAGGGATCAAAACAAAACAAAATTCAAAATCCAGAGTCCCTACAAGAGACATAAGTCTTCTGATTGGCTGCAATGTGGGATCGTCCGGGATCAATCCGGCAGCAACCATGGGCATAACAGCGGTAAAGATCCTGGTTAGGAAAGGAACAGACAGAGGAGATCAGAGTGCTGGAGAAAGAAAGGAATGTTACGATGTTCAAAAACAGCAAAAGAGGCAGCCGAGAGAGAGGGAGAGAGAGAGGAATTGGGTTCTTACAAAGAGGGGCCGCAGTTAGCTAAGTTTTGCCTCGGTTGCGCAAAACAATAGAAACCAGGTTTAATGGCTTAGCTTGCAAGCCCAGTGAATTACAGTATAGGGATTTCTCTACCTCGGTAACTTGAAGAGGGGTGGAGTGCAACTCCCAGAATTCCCCAGCCAGCACAGCAAAGTTGCACTCCACCCCTCTTCAAGTTACCGAGGTTGGAATGAGAGAAACCACATTCACCCATCGTGGCTTGTTGGCCCAGAAAGAGTCCACATCCCTGTTAAGACCTTTCCTGGGATCCAGGCAGTGTTTGCTCCGTGGTAGAGAAAAACAACAGGGAGTCCCCAATTTACCACAGTTCGTTTAGTGACCGAAGTTACAACAGCACTGGAAAAAAGGGACTTACGGCCGTTTTTCACACCTAAAACCACTGCAGCGTCCCCAACGGTCATGTGATCAAAACTTCACGATGGCTTGGCAACTGGTTCATACTTAGGACGGTGGCGGTGTCCCTGGGGGGGGTCACGTGACACCCCCTCCCCTTTGCGACCTTCTGACAAGCAAAGTCCATGGGGAAGCCAGATTCACACAACAACTGGATGACTAACTTCACAACTCGGACTCGCTTAACGACTTTGGCAAGGAAGGTGGTAAAAAGGGGCCAAATTTCATTTTAACCAATGTTGGGCTGGATTGTGGCCGTAAGCCGAGGACTACCTGTCATGCCGTTGCAGAAAGGAACAAAATATTTTTTTAAAAAAATAGCCCTCAAAGTTAGCCAGCCGGCCGTCTCTGCAGTCTGCAGACCCAGTTGTGGGTCTCGGCTAAGGACAAAGCTGAAATCAGCATGTTTTCTTTGTTTTCAACTCCCGGCACAAAAGGCGGCTTTGAAATCTTTCCCAGCTCAGCGGCTATTCTTAGAGCTGGGAAAACAACACACACACACAGCTGCTCGTGTTGTGCTCGCCCAGCAGGCTGCCATGACGCCACTGGGCTGGTAGCGTCGCATACAAGCCCCAAGTTATTTCTCACCCTTTCTGGCTTTGAAAGCCAAAGGGACAATCCTGTTTTGCAATGAAGTCAGTAGAAGCAGAGAAGCTGGGCGGACAGCAGCATTTAAAAGAAAACCCAAATAAATCTTCTCTCCTCCAGCCGTTGTTGGCAGGATATGAAGCTTTTTATTTCCAATTTACGATGGAAGCATTATCTGCAAGGGAAGATCTAGCTGCATTTTGAGCATTCTCCATCCAATTTGTTCGGAGGTGACTGCTTTATTTCCTGCACGATCAATTATTTTAGAAACAAAACGATAGCAGAAAAAGACCTCGCGGTCCATCGAGTCCGCTCTTTTGAGTTTATTGGAGGTTTTTTTGGCTTTCTTTTTCATTCTTTTAAAATTCTTTTTAGGTTTTATTTATCTTTATTTTATTTTTTTGTCAGATGATGATGGACCTGTGTTTATCCAAGCAGGTTGAAATTTTAATATCCTGGGGGGAGTGGGGAAGTGGCTGAAAGGCGGGATACCTGGATGTGGATATTGGGTATAATCGCTGCGATCTTAACCAGGAGTGAGCCAAAACCACCGCAGGTTTCAAGAAATCAATTTTTTTTAAAAAAAACAAACCCAAATCTTTGTCTTCTTTGAGAAAGACGGAAAAATTGGCAACAATATGGAAATACATCCCAAAAAGACAGGTTGAGCCAGGTGCTTGTTTTTGAAGCATCATCAGGGCCTTTTGAACATAACGACTTGTCTGCCTCAATTTAAAAAGCCCAGCCCAGAAAAAAACCCACAAATTCTACTTACAGCCGTTTGATGCCGGATTCTTGCTGAGTCAACGGTTTGGAATGAAGGATGGCTGGGGACTGAGTAGATCGTGTTTCTTCATCCAATTCATCGCTTTAAAAGCAGGAGGAAAAAAAAACCACAACACAATATTAGGAATATTTACCCTGTCTGCTGCCCAGAGTCCCACACTTGGAGCTGGGCGGCCTTCGAAATCTCATCCGGAAAGAAATGGAGAATGGAGATTTTGGAAGGAGGACAGGAATAAAAAGAACATGAATTGTCCAGGGTTAATTCTTGCCTGTTTTCCTAATTCACCGCGGACAACTTTTCTCTTGACTGGTTAATCTAACCTTGGTTCCAGTTCATTTAAAAGCAAATCTGGAGTCTAAATCTAAATGAGTGTTCCTCAAACTTGGCAGCTTTCAGACGGGTGGGCTTTGTCTCCCAGAATTCCCCAGCCAGCATGCTTGAGAAGGGTGGACTTTGTCTCCCAGAATCCCCCTTGCTGGCTAGTGAATTCTGAGATTTGAAGTCCACCCATCTTAAAGTTGCCACGGTTGAGACACCCTGTTCCAGAGTATCATCCCTCTTTTAATTTCAGCTCTTCCAATTTGAGCAAGTTTCCACTGGAAACCCCCCCCCCAAAATGTAGGTCAGGTTGACAACCAGACACACACACCCCCAATCTTATCAAGAACAAGCTTGCGTCGTTCCAGGATAGGGCTGGGAAAGGAAGAAACCCCCCAGGGCACCTCTTGTAATACAGAAGCTCCTCTTGAAGGAGGAAAACTTTTGACTTCAGCTCGTTCCTCTCGTGCAAAACGTCCCGCAGCTCTTGGAGAGTGAATCTGGGCCGACTGGGGTCCTTCAGATCCAAGGCGGTCTTCTCCGCATCCGAGAGGACTTCCTCGGAGTTGTTGGCTTCTTCCGGCTGCAAGGCCAAAGAGGGTTTGTGTAAATTAAGGCTAGTTTAGAGGTCCTTGGTCAGAAGAAGGATAAAGTTTTCTGTGGCCCAGCTCAATTCCAAACTGCAAAATTATAAATGCACAGGGTTAATAATAATCAAGCAGTCCGCCCATGGCGAACGGATGAACAAGGACAGCTGCCTCGTTTGGCGACCCTTTACAGGGACCCACATTGATGAAAAAGTAACTTTCAGACCCATCTTTGCACTGACAGCCTTTGCAGTTCAGCAAAGCGAAGGAAAGTTGAAGGAAGATCAGAAGCACAGTCAGGGTTTCACTTAGCAGCCACTTCACTTAACGACTAAGTGGCTGGTCCCAATTGTGGTTGCTAAATGAGGACTACCTGCAATTGAATTTGTTAATTACTGGTGAATGAGCGTGGTTATTTGGTGATTGCGGCCGTGGAGTCTCTCCCAGAAATACTTTGCCCAATCTCCTAATTGAATCGACAGCATGCGACATCTCTGGGTGGTCTCTTATCCAAACGCCAATCAGGCCTGTCTTTGTTTTAAATCCGTGGGGCCCAAACAAAATCAGCCAGAGGCTGTCATTTGCTGAGACTATGAACAGCTGACTGGAGTTGACTGGAAGAAATAAGACTATTCTTATTCCAATTTAAGAAGGATCCGTTCTGGATTTTGCCAGAGGAAAAAAAGCAAAGAAATGGAAAAATGGAAGAACAGAAATAGATATTTCCACATCTCCCTTTGAAATGCATCTCCCTTTGTTTTGCTAAACCCTGTCCCCTAAGTCAAAAGCACAGCAATTAATCCTTTGAGATGACAAATCCAGTTGTTTGTATATATTTTTTAGAGATCTGCGTTTCTTCTATAGATATATATATTTGGTGGTTTGGGACAGCCTCATCATCATAACACCAACTCCGCAATCAACAAAAGGAACAATTGTGCCTTCTTGGCAGAGCGAGTGATCTCATTAAACCCCAAGAATGGGAGCCTTTTCCAGATAACGAAATAAAAGAAGCAGTTGTGAATTTGTGTGGCCGTCGGAAAAACACACTAGGACTCAACGTACTTGGCACCTCCAGCAATCTCCACAAACGCACATCTTGACCGCTGGCAAGAATGAATCAGCCTCAAGTCTGCACAAAGCATTTTTCTGTTTTCACCGGATCCAATATTTTAGGCCCCGGGATACCTACAAAGTCTTGTTTTGCCTCTGCTTGTTTTTAAAACCAGGCCCCTAGTCCTCGGTGAGTTAGTTTAACTAATGCTTTAAGTCAATTTCTCAACCCGGGCAAGTTTAAGAACGCTGGCTAGGGAATTCTGGGAATTGAAGTCCTCTCATCTCAAAACAGGCAAGATTTAAGGCGACTTCACTTTATGAACTCAGAACCAAACTCCCCAAGCAATTTTTTTTAAAAAAAGCTACCCACATTCCCCACCTACCTGTGCTTCTTCTCCATTGTGACTCGGTTCCCCTTGCAGTTTCTCCCTCAGTTTTCCCAGCTCCGCTCTCAAGGCCGTCATCTCGTGCTCTTTGGTTTGCAAATAAGCTTCCAGCTCCACTTTCTGCTCAATCAATGCCTTCCCCTGAGCTTCCACGACGGTAATCCGGTGGCGCAGATCATGGTTTATCTTCATCAACCTGTTTTGCTGCTGCTGGAGCTACCGAGAAGAAGAAAAAGGGAAAACGAAGGGGAAGTGGAGGGACACCACCGAAAAGGCCCCGTCACTTCCAAGTCCCCAGATGTCTCTTTTTTTATTTGGAGAGAGAACCGACTGTTGAAGTAATTATGGGGAAAGGTTAGGGGCAAGATGGATTCCCCACTGCAGATGAGACTTAAGAAATCTACGGGTATTAATTAGCTAATGCATTTTCCATTAAGAAGATGCTTTGTAAAATAAAGACGGATTCCATGTCTAATCAGGAAGCCCACAAGTCCAGGAATCCGATCTCTGCTTTCAAAGAAAAGAAAAAAAAAAAGAAAGCATTTGGCAATTCCTTGAGGGGGGGGGGGAAATACTCACTGCTTCTACGTCTTCATTTTTAAGTCCCAGCTCTCTGTCCTTCGCTCGGATTTCATCCCGTTGCTTGTCGACCACTTCCTTCAGCTTTTTCATCACTTGCCTTTCTCTTTCTGACATCCCTGATGTTGTTGTTGTTGTTTAAAAAAACAACAGATGATAATAATAAATGAATCGCCTTCAGTCACTGACCCTCCTTAAGCAACAGAGCCCTTGTAAAATGTAGTCCCAGGACATCAGAGGGCCGGGCCAGCTGTCTGAACTTCATGGGGGGGGGGAAGGGGGAGGCGTCATTTATTTATTTATAAAATTTATTGGCTGCCCATCTGGGCCGCTTACAGTCATCAAAATGGGTCCATCCCTATACAATTAAAACATAAATAAATTAAACCCAAACATTAAAACCCAAGGACTGTTCAAAGTCATGACTTTGAACAGTTGCTAGGCAACTGGCCGTAAGCCGAGGACCACCTATCGAAGCCCAACGGGGAGGGCACCGTCACCTGAAATGAAGCCCGCCCTCTTGCCTCTGGCCACCCCTGAATTCTGCAAAGTCATTTTGACCGTTTTTTGGTCCAAAGCACTCAAGGCATTCTCAGGAACCTCTCTCCGCTTTCCTCCACACTTGCCTTCGTGTTTCTGGAATTCTTCCTCCGAGAAGTTCACGTCCCTGTTGGCGAGGTTCGTCATCAGCTGCTTGTTGTCCTCCTGAAGCTGGGCAATCTGGGTGAGGAGGTCCTGGGCTTCTCCTCGCCAAACATCCTCCACCAGTTCCAGCTCCTGCAGGATCAGCAATCCCAGCCTATCAGCCTCGGCAAGTGAGGACCAGCCTTTTCAAGGTCTTGGCCCCCCCCAATGGCGGTGGTCTCTGCCCCCCCCATGGCGGTGGTCTCTGCCCCAGCCAAAGGTCGGAGGAGAAGACCACCGAAGGTTGGAGGAGAAGACCACTGAGCCCCACTTTCAGACCTGGGCCAGGGACCCCCAACCAGATCCGATGAAGCCCTTATACAAATGAGGTGAATCACGTTCCTCCTTAGGAGGGGGACGTCACCCCAATGTGACCTCATAGGTTGTATGGGATGCTCAGATGTTCTTGTGTTTCTTTAAAAAAAAACGACCGAGAAAAATCTCTGAAATGAAGAAATCTAGATTTTGATTTCTAGGGCTGCTAAGTCTCCCGTAACAACTGCCTTGCTTAGCAGCAGTGGGAATTTGGGTGCCTGTTTTGATTGAGAATTATCTCCATGCATTGCTGTCATTTTCCTCCTCCCTATTTCCTCTGATTTGGAGGGGGGGGGAAACCCCTGTGAGCAACCTTCCCACAACAATTTTTCCCTCCCCTTCTTAACTTCCTGAGTTGATGTCCTTGCCGCATGTGCAGGATTGCTACGGAATCTATTTTTCCACTTCCTTGGCAAGGAAGAAGTCCACGTGAAAGAGGGGGGGGTGCCTCTCTCTCTCTCCACCAGACTCCTCCTCCTCCTCCTTCCTTCCTTCCTTCTCTTCCCTCCTCCCTTCCACCTTCTCTTCCTCCCCCTCCTCCTTCTGTCCTCCTCCTCCTCCCCCACACCCAGCCTGGAAGTGACATGCAGGCTGGGAAGCCTGGCACATTTCGAATCCAGGCAGAGCTCATGCCTCCTTCGATTACTCTCCTGATTGCATTGGCTCCGTTCCTGCAATCCACATATTCCTCGCTAACGGAACCACCATCACCCCTCCAGCGATCCCTTTCTCAGCTCCCACACAACAACAGCTCCAGACAAAGCCGGTTTGCGTGTCACTCAGTTAATAAAAAGAAGATCTCCAAATTAAGAAGACAAGATTGGACAGCCATTTGCCTGAAACGGTATAGGGTCTCCTGCTTGAGTAGGGGATTGGACTAGAAGACCTCCAAGGTCCCTTCCAACTCTGTTATTCTGTTCTGTTAAATTTGCAAGGGTTGCAAACACAGGACCCATTAAAATTCAGAAGCTGACCCTGGAATTCTGCCCAAATCCTGACTTCTAGGAGCCTGGAAATTTAAAGGAATACATTTTATTACTTGCAAACAGGAAGAACAGTCCAAGATTTGTTATACAATAAATGTATCCCAGGCAGAGAATAAGAGAAGTGATTCAAAAGCCTGTGATCTCTTCTGGAGCTGTTGATTCCCCCCCCTCCCCCCCGAATTAGAAGTTGATGTCAGATCTCGGTGTGACTCTTCCGGCTACCAAAATAACCCACCCTTTCTGCTCTTTTTCAATCCTTCTCATTTCTGGCCCCTTCAATTGTTTCTTATCTTTGCCATCTGGTTTGGGGGTCCCCTTAAGATGTAACTCAACTTAAGTACAAACTAGAAACCTGTCAAGTTTGTAAGACCAGCTCTGGCACATTTAACAATAGAATTTCAAGCATCAGAAGGGCTGTGCTATAGGAATGTTGGAATGCTGGTTAAATGCCTCTAAATCTTTGTTTAGCCCTGATATTTATTTATGTGGTTTGGAGAGCAGCTCTTAGCCAAACCGAATTTGAGCGTCATCTGAATTTCGCACGCTCTTTTTTTAATTTTTAATTTTTTTTAAGCATCAGCAACTTCTCTTCTACTCCAGAGATGTTTGTGGATCCTCTGTAGCCATTTTCACTCTGGCAATTAGAGCCTTGTTACCTCCCGTGTGATTGTGACACTAAAACCCTCTTATCGGCATCTTGATTAATGCATTTTATTTATAATTTAGGGTTTAGTTTGCAGCTCATCAAAGCGTCTACCTTTTATTAAAATGTTCCAGTTGGAAAAAGTGCTGCTAAGCTCCTTCTGATTTTTATTTATCTAGCCAAATCTTGTTTCTTGGTCTCTTCGTTCAAGGATGGCTGGACCACACGGGACACCAGGATCTTGGAAATGGTTTCCAAGGACATAAAGCAGCATCCCCACCCTTTCAGGACCCCTGGGAGGTGGCAGCAGGGAGCCCCTGTTCTGACAATGCTGGGTACAGGGGTGGCTTAGCTGACAAATCACAGCTATGTCTGACATGGAAACTCAGTGGAACCCAGTTCAGGATGGAAAGGATCTAACTGGGCCCAAATGGTGTCATTCTGCAGATGCAGCTGTTGTTTGTCATCCCTCTGCCTCTGCAGGGAGAGGCCTTAGCTACATATGCATTGGGAGGCAACCTTTCTTTCTTTTCTCCCTTCTCTTTTTTTATTCCTCTTCTTCCTTCCTCCCCCTCCCCTTTTCCTTTCTCTCTTCTTTCCATTCCCTTTCCCCTTCCTTCCATCTTTTCTGTACTCTTCCTCTCCTTCCTCCTTCCCACCCTTTCTCCATTCCTCCCCTCTTCTTCCCCTCCACCTTTTCCTTCCATCCTTTTCTCCTCCTTCCCTCCCTCCCTCCTTCTTCTACTTTTTCCTCTCCTCTTCCTTTCTCTCCCTCTTTTCCTTCCATCCCCCTTTCCCCTCTCTTTCTTTGTTTCCCCATCCTTCTTTCTCCCCTCTCCTTTCCCCTTCTGCCTCTTCCTCTCTTCCTCCCCTCCCTCTCTCTTTTCCCTCCCCTTCCCCCCCATCCCCCGGGGCCCCGGCTGACCTTCTGGTGCTTCCTCTCCTTCTCCAGCCGGTCGACGCGCTCCAAGCGGAGGCGGTCCAGCTCCAGGCGCAGCTCCTCCACCTCGGGGCTGATGTGGTCGCGGCTGACCAGCACCTCCAGGATCTCCAGCACGCGCACCACCCTGGGCATCAGCCGCCCGATGGCCTCGCAGCCGTGCTGGTCGATCAGCCGCTCGAACTCCTGGCCCACCAGCGAGGCGATGTCGTAGACGTCCATCACGGTCAGGTCGGCCGCGCTCTTCTCCAGCGCCGAGCCCCCCGCGCCGCCCTCCATCGAGCCGCTCGGCCAGCAGCCCGGCCGGGGCTCCTTCATAGACGCCCGGTGCAAGCCGATGCAACGCAACGCAACGCAAGGGAGGCAACCCGGCGCCCGGAGGCCGCGGTCCGGAGACGGGCGGCTCGACCCCGGCTTCCCCAGACCCCTCCTCCCGTCTGAGCCGGCCTCCTCCTCCTCCGCTTGGAGCGCTGGGCTGGGCATCCCGGCCAACGGAGGCGGAGCGCAGCGCAGCCGGGCGGAGGCAAGGAAGGATGCTCCGGGCAAGACGCGGGACTGAGCGTTCCCACGGCCAGGATGGCTCCCGGCGGCGAAGGCAGAGAGCCCCCGAAGCTGGGTCGTAGGAAGGGCCCCTCCGCTTGACTTTTGGAGGAGGCGAAAGGGAGTCCTCGACTTACAACGGTTCGTTTAGGGAGCGTTCGAAGTTACAACGGCAGCTTAAAAAGTGACTGGAGATCATTTTTCACACTTAGGACCGTTGCAGCATCCCCGTGGTCACGTGATTTATATTCCGATGCTTGCCAACTGACTCACATTTATGACGGTCGCAATGTCCCAGGGTCACATGATCCTCCCCCTTTGGCGACCTTCCGACAAGCGAAGTCAATGGGGGAAGCCAGATTGACTTAACCACCGGGTTACTAACTTATCAGCCGCAGTGATTCACTTAACAACCGTGGGCAAGGAAAGTCGTAAAAACGAGGCTGAACTCGCTTAACACACGTTGCACTTAGCAACATCATTTTTGGATTCGGTTGTAGCCATAATTCGAGGACTAGCTGTAATATACTGGAGGCTTTTGGTGTTTGTTACGTTTTGCATCTGGCCAATGAAATGCTGACCATCTTCCTTCAGCTTTGTTTTGGTCTCTAAATAAGGCAGTCACTAAAGGAGGACTACCTGTAGATCCCACGACGCCCTTCTCCATTATTCCACCTCTACCATTAGGCTATTTTTTATTTTTATTTTTGGTTTTCCCAGGGAAGATCAACCTAATAAATAAATAAACACAATGCCGGTCTTCAGAGCACATTGGACTCCAACTCCCATCATCCAGATTACCCCCCTGGGCCCAGGACGATGGGGTTTGGAGTACAACAGACTCCCAGAGAGCCCCGGCATGTGGATTGGTTATGGGGAGACTCCGCAGAGCCGTGGCCTGATGGAGTGGCGGGGATGATGGGATTTGTAGTCCATCCTCTCTCTGAAGCGCCTGCTTGTTGAAAAGGCTGCCTTATAACCCGCAGATGCCTCCTCTTCGTCTTCCAGACAGGGCAAAACCCCATTTGGTCGCCCCCCCCCCGCCAGAATAGCCCCACCCCCTTCCAAATTCAGTGGCTGTTTCTCAGATCCTCCCTTCCTTTCTCAAACGCGTGGTAAATGTCCCTCCTCAGCCGCCGTCGCAGGCGTTCGTTTCCTCCCACTCCCGATTTGGCCTCGCGCGGCCACCGTCCTTACCTCTCCTCCACCCTCCCATCCCTGCCCGCCTCGCCTCTTCCAATCAACGCACGCCTCACTCCTCTAGGCCCGCCTTCCCCTCCCCCCAGCCCAGCGGCGCTGCGTCCAGACTTGTACGTGGCAGCGGGCTCGTCCCGGGCCTATGAGGAGCGGCCCCGTGCACCGGAAGGGGCGTGGCCAGGGCCGGAAGCGCCCCTCCGTCGCCGCCTGTTCCCCTGGCTGGTTGGCAGCGGCCCGGCTCGCGTCGTCCTCGGCTCCGTCCCTCACGTGGCCCGCCTCGCTCGCTCCCCCCCGCCGCCATGTCGCCGGTGCGGGCCGTGCTGGCGCTGCTGGCCGCGCTCTGGGCCCCGGCGGCCGGCTACTTCGTCAGCATCGACGCGCACGCCGAGGAGTGCTTCCTCGAGCGGGTCCCGTCAGGCACCAAGATGGGGCTCATCTTCGAGGTGGCCGAGGGCGGCTTCCTCGACATCGACGTCGAGGCGAGTCCGCGGGAAAGCCGGGCTGCGGGTGTGTGGGGAAAAGGCCAGGGCGCCTCTGAGCGCGTGCAGAGTGCCGGCCTCCCACGCCTCGGCCTCTGCGCCTTGGCCGCCTGGGAGGGTTACGGGGGGAGGTTTTCTTCGCCTCGCCCCACGTTTAGGAGGGGGAGAAGGGAGTCCCGAGGCGGGTTTTTCTTTCTGGACTGGGGTAGAGTAGCTCGGCAGCTGGAGGTTCTACGCCGGGAAACGGACTCGCAGGGCTGCTTGAAAGAGGCGGCGGAGCCGCTTCAAGGGGATGAAACCTTCCCCTGGCTTGTGAAGAAGGGGAAGCTGCAGAGTCCGTGGCAATAGGGCAATAGTGCCTCCATTTAATAGGTAGTCCTCGACTTATGGCCACAAGGGAGCCCAACATTTACGTTGCTAAGCGAGAGCGTTGTTAAGGGAGCTTTGTCCCCTTTTACGACCTTTGTTGCCACGCTTGTGAAGTGAATCCGGCTTCCCCATCCTCTTTGCTTGTCAGAAGGTTGCGAAAGGGGATCCCGTGATTCCTCAGGACGCTGCGACCGTTGTAAGTACATGCCGGTTGCCAAAGCCTCTCAATTTGATCACCTGACCACGGGGACGCTGCAACGCTTGTACCAGTCCCTTTCTCAGTGCCTGTAACTTAGAACGACCGCTAAGTGAAATGTTGTAAGTTGAGGACCACACCTGTGTTTCCTAATAGCATTGCTGGACGTAGTGGCGAAGAACAGAAGGCCAGAGAATAACAAAAATGGGCTAGAAGTAATTGGGGGTGAGGAGGTAGGGAGGGATGAGGGGCCACCAAACGATAATTCGTCAACTCATATTTGTCACTTCTTAGCAGAGCTTTTGAATTTCTAGCAATTGTTGGTTTTACATGATAGGAAACTCTGGGAGGTGTTGGGTGTGTGTATTTAGAAAAGATTGGAGAATAGCATTGGCCCTGTATGAGCTCGTTGGACTTTTTTTTTTTAAATGTAAATAATTGTTCTTTGGAGTTATCTGGATCGGTGCTTAATTGAATAAATGTAGTGGGAAATCGCTGACCGATTAGTTAGGACAGTTGTAGGGGTTGTAATGTTTCCTGGTTAAAGTGACACAAAACAGTGACACATTGTTAGGAGGGATCATTTTACTGGTTTTTTAATTTGTAGATCTTTTGTTTAAGTCTCTTGAGCATAATAAAGTTTTGATGTTAGTTGTATTCTAATATTCCTCTGGTTGGCTACTGTGAAAACTAGATGCCTGGTTTGATTTTGATAAGATCCAGATAAGAACAATACTACATTTTCATACCTTGAAATTCTACCCAATTGGCTCTCTTTGAAATACAGGTTGTCCTGGACTTACAACAGTTCATTTAGTGACCATTCAAAGTTACAACAGGACTGAAAAATGTGACTTATGACCGTTTTTTCACAGTTAAGGACCTTTGCAGCATCCCCGTGATCATGTGATCAAAATTCAGACGCTTGGCAACTGGTTCTTATTTATGACCGTTGCTATGTCCCAAGGTCATGTGATCACCTTTTCTGACCAACCGAGTCAGAGATTCACTTAATATCCAGATTACTAATCGATCAACTGCGGTGATTCCCTTAACAACTGTGGCAAGAAAGGTCGTAAAATGGGGCAAGACTCATTTAGCAAATGACAACAGAAATGTTGGGCTCCATTGTGGTTGTAAGTCGAGGACTACCTGTAGATTATTGAAATATATACTGTGTTATTTGACACTTGCCATGTTTCCTACATAAGTTTCGTAACTTTCAGAAATAAGCTTCATTCGTTTGGATGCAGATGAACAGTAACCATTCGCCTTCCTCCTCACTTCCAGATCACGGGCCCTGATAACAAGGGCATTCACAAAGGCGACAGAGAATCCAGTGGAAAATACACCTTTGCGGCCCACATGGACGGAACGTACAAGTTCTGCTTCAGCAACAAAATGTCCACCATGACTCCCAAGATAGTGATGTTCACTATTGACATTGGGGAAGCTCCCAAGGGACAGGACATGGAGACAGAAGGTGAGACCAGACGCTCCCACAAATTTGCCTACTTGCTGCGTTAACTCCTCCCAACATTATGTGTTTCATCAATTCTGTTCTCTCTTTGGGGACTGAAATGTTCTGAGAACAGCATCAGGACTTCTCTTTATACCGTAATGGGATTTTTCCAGGAAAATGGTTTCTGATTTGAACGTTCCAAGTCATTTTCTGGCAGTCTCAAATGTGATGGATCTTGTGTAGATTTCATTTTTGTGAATTTTCTGCCATCCAAACATCCTTTTCATTCTAGCTGTGTCCACTTTCGTCTCTTCTAAACTCCAGATAGAATGAAGGGCTATGTAGGAAAGGGGTGCCAGACTGAAAAAAATTGTTCTAAACTCTGGACTGGTGGCTGAAGTTTTGCATCCCGGGGACTTTTATCTCTTTATGTGGCCTTCATACTGTTGTTTCTATGGATATACTTGGCAGTCTCAACCTTACCCCAGCTCTTTCCTATCTCTTACCAGTCCTTGATGGACTTTTTCCCCCTAGATTATTGGAGTGAATAGCCCATTTTTCAAGTTACTCATTCTTTACCATTCTAGTTCTAAGTACTTTCTTATCTCTTAGATTCCCAATCCTCTTTACCAGACTATTCTGTGGTTGCCAGCTCCATGCCTTTCTTTTTTTCTTCCTGCCTCTTGATCAGAGAAATGTGATTTGAAAATGGGATGTAAGCCTTTGCTTCCATGCTGAGGCAAAGCACATCCTCATTTCCCTATCGTGTATCGAGTATCATTTGTGCTTGATTCTCAGAGAACCCGATGGAGCCCTTCCTGTGATGCTCCTACTTTCCCTTTTGGGGAAGTAGTTAATCCAATGGGAGGGCCAGCCAGCGGTAAGAGTTGGCAATTCCTTTTTATGTCTGTCGGAAAGAGGGCCGTGCTGAAATGGCCCCCCCGTTGTTGAGGGACGGCGTCCTTCCTTTTGACTGTCTCTCCTGCTCACCTCTTTTGCTTTTCCTTAGGTGGTGGAGACACCTGGGATGGTATGTGTTCTTCCTTGAAGAAATTCCGTTAATTCCTCTGGTTTGCTTCTCCTAATCTGTTAACAGCCGTGTGGAGCTTTATGTATGGGATACGAGGCTCCTTGCTAACATATTGCTGATCCAGGGGTTGTCGTGCTCAGATGGAAAGGCCCGCGTGTTGTGTACCAAAGAAGCACTTCATGATTTTTATCCCCCTTGTCTCAAAACAGAGAGATGTTACCAATTGTTCTGTTTTTTAACTGGCTGTAAGCCGCCCTGAGTCCACCAGGAGAAGGGCGGGATATAAATACAATAAACTTCAACTTCTCTCTCTCTCTCTCCCCCCCCCTTTGCACGGCCCTTTTGTTACCGTTGCCCCCCTGCCATTATCCAGTTGCTTGTGCTCTGGATTTCCCACAAAAGGCCAGAGGAGACGGCAAGTTGGGCCTCTTTCCAAACTCAGTAATTCTGCACTTGCTTTGTGGTGCTCCCTAATTGGTTTGCTAGGCTGAGTACTCTGATAAGGGAAGAGATCACAACTGGAATATTTTCTGCCGAAGCGGCCTTGAGCCGTGAAACGCATTACCTGTGAAGTGTTAGCATGTTTGAAGTCACTGTAAATCCAGTTCTACTAACAATGCCTCTGTGCTTACACAGTTGTCGTGGCCTTGATGTGTTTTGTGTAAGTTTGGTGGTTTCTCTTTCATGGTATGATTGGTTTTCTTCCTATCTAGGAAGAATTCCTCCTTTCTTGCATAGCACATTAACCCATGCCAGCGCCTGAAATACAGAGATAATAAGGATTTTGCCCTCCTTGGACCATATACAGTTTGGATGGGATTTAGAATGAAAAGCTAGCTAGCCAGTTTGGGGGCTTTATTTTAAGTGCTCGTATATTTGCTAGCCATGGACATGTCAGATTGCTTCATCATTGCAGCTGGAGTCTAGTCTTTTTGACACAAATGTGAGGTTGTGTAATTCCTCCGCAGCTCATCAGAACAAGCTAGAAGAGATGATTAACGAATTAGCAGTGGCCATGACAGCTGTCAAACACGAACAGGAATACATGGAAGTGCGCGAAAGGGTACATCGAGCGAGTAAGTAGCCTTTGTTTGCTGGGTGGTTCTGTTTTCTTTCTAGTGTCCGATTTTGTCTTCAACAATTGGTCTCTTAGCCCTTGGCAACAACGGCATTCCGCACAGGTGAGTGAGCAGGCTGGCAGAAGAGGAAGAGAAGAAACCTGATCTTGCAACTGCCTGCAGGAGGGAAGTGATGTTCTGAAAGAGGGGAGGAGGCCGGGCTACTGCACTGAATGGGAGTGGTCAGTGTGGCTTTTGATTAACCACAGCCACAAAAATCTTAAGCCATTTAAGAGAGACAGTTTAATGTAAAAGTTAAAGTGCTGGCCTAGAAACCAGGAGGTGGTGAGTTCTAGTCCTGCCTTAGACCTGAAAGTTGACAGGGTGACTTTGAGCCAATCACTAGGAGACAGTAAGCTCTGGTCCCGCCTTAGCCATGAAAGCCAGCTGGATGACTTTGGGCCGGGCACTTTCTCTCAGCCCAATCCACCTCACAGGATTGTTGTTGTTGGGGAAAGACGAGGAGGAAGTAGAATTAGATATGTTTGCTGCCTTGAGTAACTTACAAAGTAATAAAAGTGGGATAAAAATCTAATAAATACTTACTGGTAGCAGAAACTTGCTAGGTGTTCCAAACATTTCTAGGCTTGGTTTGCAAGATTTCTAGAAATACCTGCATGGCTGGTTCTACCCCCCAAAAAGATTCCTAAATATGGAGTAGAGACTCCATTCGTGAGCTAAGAATGTGAGGTTCCTGTAGTTCTGTAGTTCTGTATTCTTCAGATGTTCTGTAGTTTCCATGTGCTAATTTTGTATTTTCTTCTTGGTTTCTTCACCAGTTAACGACAACACAAATAGCAGAGTAGTCCTCTGGTCGTTCTTCGAAGCCCTTGTACTAGTTGCCATGACACTGGGACAGATCTACTATCTGAAGAGGTTTTTTGAAGTCCGGAGAGTGGTTTAATCAAACTTGGCTCCCAGCCCCCTTTCTGGTGATCCCAGACTCTGTTCACTCTTTTACCAAACACAATTTCGTTGCAAAAATCACGTAGTTTTCTTTATCCCTGCATCCCGAACTATAAAGCTTTTTAAGTTTAAGGTCTTCTTAGCTTAATTCTGGATTTGTTTTTGTTTTATATGAGGGGATACCTGCCGCGAGTTATTTTCTGAAATTGGAAGATTTTGTTTTGTAGCAAGTTGCTGACATTTTGTCTAGGAGAAATGGTGCAGGGCCTTTTCATAATAACGTTACAGACCTGTGGGGAAGATTCTCTAACTCGACCAGCGGGTTTCCACTCTACTTTCACTGTAGGAGAACAGTTCTGGTGTGCCCCACTCCTAGCAGTGCTTCTCCCAAAGGGCACTATGCCGAAGAAGAAATGAACGCGGTCCTGTACTGTTCAAACATACACCAACTAGGAACGGGTGTAGTTAGGATACTCTTAAGTGGCCTCTGTAAAATCCCCAATATCTTTAGGGTGGTTCCACCGATTTGTTCCTTGAGATTTAAGTTGGAGAAGCAAGGATAACCCAGTTCCACATGGCCTTTGCTTTCAAACCTGGGAGTTGGCAATTGTAGCTGGGGATTCAACGTCTTCCCCTCACTGTTGATACTTCCAGAACTGGTCCTCTCTGTAGTTCTATGGCAGGAACAGGTCATGCTTTCTGAACTCACGGTTTCCACCTTAGGGAGCAGAGGGGGAGAAGGTTTCTATATTGCTTTGCAGCCTTGGGCCACTTGGTCAGGGCAACCTCAGAGGGGGATGACTTTTTCCTTGACCGAAACAGAAATGAGACAGAAAGATGCCACTTTCCTCTGTTGCTGAATCTTCCCCAGAGGCTATTTGCACACTGAACCGGTGCAGATTTTCAAGTTACGACTGCAATTCCATAAATTTTCTCTCAAGCTTTTCTTCGCTGCCCTGCTCTTACAGACACAGGAGCCTCTCTCAAGAAAGGCATCGTTGTTCTGAATTTGGCCTGAATTCGTCTATTTTCTGCTTGTTCTCTCTTCACGCATCGACATAAGTTTTTATAGAATTGAGTTGTGTTTTTTCCCCCCCCTTTCTTACTTATCCGGATGATGGAATTAACAATCGCCACGTCTATCTGTCGGGGTGGGCCTGGTCCAAGATTATGTGGTGGCTGATGTATATTGGACTGATGTATATTGGTTATAATTTGGGGAGTGGGGCGGGAGTGGGTTCTTTTCAAAGCGGGAGGGCCTTCTGTCAGTACTGCATAAAAGAGTTTTGTACCAAATTTAATTTAATTAAAATTCGTTACAAGTTTTTCTGGTTCCAGTAATCTTTTCAGCCAGAGGTGAAGACTTTTAAGAGCGTTTCTTTGCCAACTTCAGTGCAACCATTGTATGCCAACCCTAATATGAGATCAGTGGAGCTCAGAGTAGAAAAATGTGCATTTAAAAATGTTTGAAATTTGGCCATATTCAATTAAATAAACACCTTCTTAAAAAAAAAAATTGGTGAGCCTGGTGCTTATCTTACACTTTCAATAATCATTTTGTTTTTTTGCATTGTTGATTTATTTTATTTTATACCTTAAAGGGACGTGTTATTTCAAATAGACGTGTAATGGGGCAGGGGAGAGGAACATCTGGAGGATTGTATGATGGGGAAATGGATGGCTTTAACAGAAAGCGTTGTAAATTGAAGACACCATTAGAAGTCAATGGAGCTCATTAATTTAGTATTTAAACAAGTGCACCCCACAGAATTCACACCTCACCTCATGCAAAGGGCATCAGTTGAGAGGGGGCCAGCATAATTTTAGGGAAATGTACCCACAGAAAAACTCTTCCTGAAATCGGGGAATTCAAAGGTCTTCCTTCCCAGAAGAATTAAATCTTTTGTGAGAAATCTTGACTGTATTTTTCCATGATAAAGGAAGAGCTGCCCCAGTATTCCTTAGAGCGTTTGACTGCAATATTTGGCCTTTCTTTGAGGAGCCGAGAAGTCTTTCCCTGCACCCCAAGACCCTGGGCAGATGCTCCCAAACACCCTATTTTTCTAACAAGGTGGAGAAAAGTAGAACAGCTCTGCCAAAGTTCAGGAAAGACTGATCCTCCAGAGGTTGTGGGTGCTCCATCGTTGGAGATTTTTGAAAAAAGCACCTTTGGGGTGTCCATCCCTGGAGGTTTTCAAGAAGAGATTGGCCAGTCTAGAGCGGTAGAGGCCTTCCTGCTGGAGCAGAGGGCTGGACTAGAAGACCTTCCGGGTCCCTTCCAACTCCGCTCTTCTACATTCTTCTCCGCCTACCGCTCCATCAGGAGGGAAGTGCGCAGGCGCGGAACCCAATTCACGCCGGCCGTGTTTCCCGGTCGGAGCCCGGAAGTGAGGACGCGCGCCGTGCGGGGGACCTCCATGAGGTCGGACAGGATTTCCGGCAAAGAAATCCGGGGCGGGAGGGCGCAAGATGGAGCAAGTGACCGAAGGGACGTGGGAATCGCTGCCCGTGGAGCTCAGCCCGGGCGTCCTGCAGGCCTTGCGGGAGCTGCGCTTCTCTCACATGACGCCCGTGCAGGTAGGGAGCGGGGCCGCCCTGGCCCTTTCCGCTCCCCCCCCAGGCGGCACTCCAGCTCCCATCGTTCCCAACCCCGCGTGCGGATGGGATTGGATGCCGACCCGCTTGGAGGAGGAGGAGGGCTGAGGATCTGCTGCCTATTTGGGTTAAGCGGGAAAGCCACCCAAGCTCTTCCATGCAACCTGTAGCACAATAAATTCAACAAAACATAAACAAACATAAATCCTAAAAAAGAGCACAAATAATCATCTTTGTGGATGCTTTTATTGTTTTAAGGTCTTTCAAAATATTTTAATTGTTTAAACATTTTAGATTTTAGGTAAGCCGCCAAGAGTCACATGTTGAGTTGGGCCGCCATGGAAATTGATTGAATGAATGAGTAAAATCTTGTTATTTGAACCCATTGCCAGAATTGCCCAGCCAGCATGGGGAATTCTGGAAGTAGAAGTCCATACATGCTAGGTGGGGAATTCTGGGAGTTGAAGTCCACACATCTTTGATTTGCCAAAGTTGAGAAACACTGATTTATTTGAAGGGTATATGCGTCCACCCAACTTGAGCATTACAGTTCCGGCTGCTGTACTAGAGCTGAAAAAGCAAAATAAACAATTTGAGTTAAAATCTAAAATAAAAATAGCCAGAATCTGACATTTATATCCAGTTCAAGAAGGATATAAAAAAATCTCCAAGGGTATTTTCAGATAGAAGCCTTGGTTCAATTCATCCTGATGTGGTTTGGCCAAGCCTTTGGGCTCTTCCTATGCTTGATCCTTTTAGACAAAAACTAGAAACCTCCGTTTCCATATCGTTCCTCTGATGCATTTCTTTCAAAGCATTTATGGTCCCTCATAATCTCTCCTCTTGCTTCTTCAACAGAGTGCAACCATCCCTTTATTTATGACCAATAAAGATGTGGCAGCTGAAGCAGTGAGTAAATTTTTAAAAAATTGTTTTAGCCATGATTTTCTTCTTTGAGCCATTCAGGAACCTCTTGGATATTTCTATTTTTCGTTGCCTCAGGTAACCGGCAGTGGAAAAACGCTCGCATTTGTCATTCCCATCATAGAAATACTCCTCCGGCGTGAAGAAAAGCTTAAAAAAATGCAGGTGAGTTCATTTCTGTTTAAGATCTAGCAGGATAATTGGGAATCCAACTTTTCTAACTGCCATTCTGTTGCTACTTAAGAAATATTGAGTATTGTTTTCGGGTGTACGTTTTGTGAAAGGCAGAGTAACGTCTTGCTGAAGCTGTATTGATGATAATTCTGTTTTTGTGGCTTGCCATTTTAGATTGGCGCGCTTATCATCACTCCCACCAGAGAGCTTGCTATCCAAATAGATGAGGTGATCTCCCATTTCATTAAATATTACCCACAGTTTAGGTAAGTCACATCTGGTGGTTAGGAAAGCAGGGTGGCCTAGTTTGTTTTTATTAAGATGTTGCTTCTTCTTTCTTTTTTTTTTCCAGTCAGTGCCTTTTGATTGGTGGGAAAAATCCCATGGAAGATGTAGAAAGATTCAAAGAACGAGGGTGAGTTAAATGCTGGAGTCACGACTGTAAGACTGTTGCCATCCAGAGTCACTGGGAGTCAGGCAGGATATTAATTTATTATTGCTTGCACAGTGAGCCAGGAGTTAATAGACTAGATTTGGCATTTTTATCCCCCTATTTAGTCCTTACCAAGGATCTAAAATAGTCAGACAGACAGATATTATGGTTTGAAGATGTTAAAGATATTGTTGTAGGATGTAAACTGTTCCAAGTACCCTTCTCAACCTGCAGGTCTTCTTTTTCTTTCCTGAACAGCGGAAACATCCTGGTAGCCACCCCAGGTCGGTTGGAGGACATGTTCAGGAGGAAATCCGAGGGGCTGGATTTGGCCAAGGCTGTAAAATCTCTTGATATTTTGGTCTTGGATGAAGCAGATCGACTGCTGGACATGGGGTTCGAAGCAAGGTAAACTGTATTTGTTTGTTTTGTCATCATTATAAACTGGGTCGATTGATTTGATTTTTCCTTTCTCAAAATTGCTTTGCTCCAGCTTCCGTGGATTATATTTTGCAACCGCTGCTGAACTGTCTAGGGCTTGATGTTTGAGACTGCCTTCCCCGGGATAGGTGGAAAAATTATATATCATTGGAGCTTTGTGTCTCAGTAATGGATTTAGGAGTACTTTTATTTCTTTAACTCACAACTTCTGCAGCCTGAGAAAATGTGAAAACCTTTGGCCTAGGGGATCTAGCCTTTAGCCTTTGTGCGAACAGAGTGCTTCTGACACCGTGAATTGTATTTGCCTGCAGTTTGAATACTATCCTGGATTTTCTGCCCAAGCAGAGACGGACAGGTCTCTTCTCTGCAACTCAGACCCAGGAAGTGGAGAACTTAGTGAGAGCGGGACTCCGAAACCCCGTCCGTATCTCAGTGAAGGAGAAGGGAATGGCAGCAAGTAACACCCAGAAGACTCCCACTCGGCTCCAGAATTATTACATGGTGAGGCCAGTTCTCTTTTCCGGAGTGGCTTTTAAGGGGGGAATGGCGCCAGATCTCTTTGATCCTGGT